CTTGCAGCATGTGCGGAGAGAGTAACAGTGTCAACGGTTCGGACGTTTATCAAAACTTTGCTTTCTCGCTCCACAGAAGCTGCCAGACCCGTTGAGTTTCTTCAAAAAGTTTTGTTTTCCTTTCAGATTTCCAGCATCCGCAGTTCTTTACGTTAGTCTTTAAACAATGTGGAAACATCTTTTTGGTCACTCACTGGATAATGATTACTGTTTGGGGAACATATTCCTGATCCCATTAACAACCCGGAACTGGGCAGCAAAGAAAACTGATGGAGTGAACAAAGCCAGAAGTCACACGACACCAAGGTATAGTCTAACAGGTTTATTTGAAATCACAAGTTTTCGAAGCGCTGCTCCTTCATCGGGTGAAGTCAACCAGTTACCTTCAGACTTTATCCACCCCAATCCAACACTGGCACCTCCACGCGATGGATTGAAATCAGCGAAATCTCTGCTCCTGGGTGATCAAATCACCAAACTTTCGGTTAACAGCCGAAAACTCTGCACCACAGATCCTGGCGACCCAACTGTTTGAACAACCGTAAAGGCTTTCAACATGCTAGTTTTCATCGGTCAGAGCATTCAGTATAGGCGTTGGGACGACTCTTATTGCAGCTGTACAAGATGTTGCCATTTGGAGGACTGTGTGCAGTTCTGGTTACCCTACTATAGAAAGGATATTATTAAACTAGGAAGAGTCTGACCACAGCCACTGCAGGCACATTCATATCATTGAGAACTAGCTCTTGTCCAACTGGGGCTGTTTCCCTTCGAGCCTCCGTGGTTGAATATCCATTCTTAACATCTTTGTTATCTGAGGTATCAATTTAAGCAATAGTCACCTCACCATTCCTTCAAAAACTTCAGCTATTTCTAGAATTTCACAACACAGAGTATTACATCATGTAAATCCAAATCAAGCTCTGCATTCTTTACTGAATCAAGATCCATACTCAAGTATTTAAAGCAAGGGTGAAGTTGAGAACTAATGATATTAAGTAAGACGCCCACCTTAATGTCACCAGTTCTTACCCTCATTCTTGCTTTCAATATCTCCAAACATAACGACTGTCCTTACGGCCTGCAGCCTCTTGTAGATTTGAACTCACTGAAAGGTCTTCCTTCCCAAACACCTCTACCCCCGTCTTACTTCAAGGCACGCTTAAAAATGAACATTACTTTTCTGAATATCTCATGTCACTTACTGTGAATTTTTATTCAAAACAAACCTTTCGGACACGTCACTAAGTTAAAGGCACGATACACATTAAAACCAACTGCTTTTATTGTTTAAATTCCTCCAAGACCTCTCTGCGCAATGATCTAAAGGTCAGATTATCCACTTAGCTTGCCCCCAGCCTCTCTTGCACTCAAGAGCTCCTCTGCCCAAATCTTGAGGTCCCCGTGAATTTCTTGTACTGCTGGTTGACTTAAACCACTTCTTGCAGTCTTCATTTCGAACTACAACTTTGGCCAATGTCTTAGTGAGAAATCGGGGTGAGGTTGGAGGAAGGGTGCTGCGGTAAAAAAAAAAACACACTACAGGAAAAAGAGAAGGAACATGCATCTAATTTATAATTTACATTATTAATTTATAATTTATCCTTAGCCTCAAATGTCCCCGTCCCAGCACTTTATTTCTTTCCATTGAAGTCAGAGACTTGAGGATGTCCAGTACGGGTGTCAGAATTTCTTCTCTGATGGACAGCAGTAAAACAATTGCCATTTTTTTTTGCCAGCCCCACAAATGTTCATTCAGCTCAATTTCACAACCTGCCCTCGTGCTTTTTGTTCCTTCTCTCGCATTCCATTTTCTATTTCTTTTATCTATTTCACAGGAGATTAGAAGCAGGTGGCTTGCTGTCAAGAAACTGAAACAAAACATCACGTCAGGAACTGTTGAATTCACCCAATGTATCATAATCTGATAATTACTGGATTTTGAACATGGAAAGAGAAAGCAACATCCATAGTGGAGAGAATGACCCAGTGAATCCCTTTTCACAAACACAGCAAATGAATAACATCTCCCCAGTATGAACTCACTGGTGTGGCATGAGGCATGTTGACTTTGCAAATATTTCCCACAGGCAGAGCAGGTGAATGCCTCTCCCCAGTGTGATTGTGTCAATGGATTTCCAGCTGGGATGGATAATAGAATCCTTTCTCATAATCCTTATATTTCCATGATTTCTCCAGGGTGCTGGGCTGGATGTGACTGTGCTGATAGATTTCCTGTTGTGGTGGAAAATTGAATCCCATAATGCAGTTATCATGTTTCCATGGTTTCTCCATGGTGCTGGATGCCATGTGATGGCTCTGATAAATTTTAAGCCATGATCAATATTAAATCCTTTCCCACAATCCCCACATTTCCATTGTGAGGGTGTCCTTGTGTCATTAAAGCCTTGCTCTCATACAAAACATGGCTTAGCTACTCCTAGAAATTGTGCCACCTTTTCCAGATTGTTAAAATAGTTAAATCTCTTTCCACAGTCACATCACTGATACACACACATCTGAGTCTCAACACATTTTCAGTCACAGTTTATCCACAGATAAACACTTTTCCTTTTACATTCAAAGGCTAATGATATTTGGATCAAGACGGATCAAGTAACAGTCAGATCTGGACATGACGTTCAATTCAAAATTTTCAGCAACAATCCACCCCTTCAGTACCCTACAATAAAGTGAACAAAAGTCAACACAGGACAGAAATTCACAACAGACAATTATTGTATTAAATGGAATCTCTTTCCTGTCTTGTTCCCACAGTGCTGCAAATCCCACTCCCACACATTCTCTCTTCCCTGAGCTGAAATCTAAACCCATCTCCAGTTCTTAACCTGCACTTCCAGATTTCTCTCTCCCTCTGGCTCCTCTCTCTGGATTGAGATCCCCAGCTCCTATCTGCACTAAGAATCAAATCAATGAGTCTGATTCAGAGTTTGGGATCTCCACCGGGTATTGGTGAATCCTCCCCACACACCTCCTAGGATTTCCTTCTTGATCACAGCCTCATCGGGGGAAAATCAATCTGGAACCTCTTGTTCATTTTCGCCAATCCCTATCCTTCAGTTGCTGCCCCAAGATGGGGTCCATTCCTCCTAGTCCTGTTCCTGGAGGGTCGGAGCTGCCAATGACAGAAAATTAATTCCAGACACCCACAGCCTCTCTCTCTGGCACATACACGTACTGCACATACTCCAGTGTCTGGTTGGTACAGTGCCTGCGCACTGTTTTCCACTAGTACAACACGTGCTCCAGGTCGCAAAGGACCCGAATGACTGATGGGAGCTGCTACCAATAGAAAAGAGGGGAGGAGCTGGAGGACCAGATCAATGAGATGATAAACAATGAAGGAATGTGGGTGGGGGGGATGGACTATTTAGTGAGGACAGGATGAATGGAGTAGGAGGGTCTCCTAGGCAAACTGAGCAATGGGAGAGTCTGACAGGAGAGAAATAAGAGGAAGATTCCGTGTCGAGGCTCAGGCAAGGGCAGCTGTAAGACATTACAGCCTGCCATCCTGGCAGTTCAGAGATGGTATTACCCACCTCTGAAGGTGGCACTTGAATTTGGGCCTCCTGGTCTAGGGGTAAACACACTATCACTGTGCTACAAGAGCCCGTCCCTTTAGCACTAGTGGAAAGGAGGGAAGATTTTCTCAATCTCAGTGACAGAGAAGCTGCATGAACTTCTCACACTTGCTGTCTGAGGAAAGGGTGGACAAGACAGGGCAGATGGTGCTGGCACGGGGGGGGGGGGGGGGGGTGTGCGGAGGTGAGAGAGAAAGGGGGTCTATGGGACAGCCTTTCAAAAGGAACTCACTTATGGTAAAGATGTCAACAAGACCCAACACACTGGTAATTAACACAAAAATGGTGTGTTTGAATTTTATCCAGAAGATAAACACCTAGAACTGGGCTGATATTTATCAACATCTGTAGTCACAGATCCCAATGAGCAGAGTTAAGTCTTCAATATTTCTAACAGCAAAATTCCCATCACTGCAGTTCCTGGTGAACTCGCTGGTGTCTCAGCAGGTCTCTTCCCACTCGGAGCAGGTGAATGATCTCTCCCCAGAGTGTGTGTGCTGATACGCAAGAAGGAGCAATCCAACCATGTTAAACTCCCTTCTACCTGAACTGGCCTGAAATGTTGATGCTTTCCTGATTCACTTGTTGATTCTAAATAAAAAAACAAAAGAACTGCGGCTGCTGTAAATCAGGAACAAAAACAAAGTTGCTGGAAAAGCTCAGCAGGTCTGGCAGCATCTGTGGAGGAGAAAACAG